CACATGAAATTTTTATTATTGGAAGTTGAAATATTAAAAACTATTGTATCACTCCTTACTAATAGACATTTGGGTTCATTACATCTTTACCAAGTTTATTTCATCAATTACTCAAACATTGAAATTTTTTCAACAGGAAAAACCAGTACGTATTTCCCTTTATTGAAAGTCAACTACAAAACCTATCAGCGCATATACATTTCACTCTCTCTATAACGGCCTGACTGATTTGGCAAAAAAAGGCCGTATAGAGAGGGACCGTTATAGAGAGTTTGCAGATCATAGTCATGTGATAAATTATAACAAAGATTTTTATTTTATACAATAAAATATATTTAAAAAAAATGATCTTATTATTGTTCTTATTAATCTATTTTTTCAATGTATCAACAACCGACCACAAACAATATGTCTCAAACTGGATCAATGAGACCAACACCACCAAGACCACAACAATTACAACCACCTCCAATGAGACAAGATATGGAAAGTGAGGTGTGATAGTATCATACAATGGGAAAAAGAAACAGGAATTACAATGGAGCAGAAAGTTAACAGTAATAATAATAATAATAACAACAGTAGAAATAGTAGTAATATTAGATCTATTAATAGAGACAATAATGAGGATAACAACAACAACACTAATAATAATACTAGTAATAGAAGTAGGAACTTTAGTAATAGTAGCAATAGAAATAGAAATGAAATTGTAACAAATTATTATGTAAACATATGTACTGAAAACCTAATTTTATTTAATAAAAGAGTGGAATTGAGCTATGGCGATGCCATGGATCAGTAGGTCTGGACCGCCATATCCATTCAAGGTGGCAGGTCACAGTTTTGGGTAGTGGGTCACACCACCATCCATTGTACGATTAACACATTCCAAGAATGGCATGATCATCATAAAATGTTTGGTCAGCAAAAAAATCATCACCGTCCAGTCTTGGAAACGTACCAGAGTATATCAAAGTACAAGATAAAGGGCTATTGTATAATGATTACCCATCATCTTGTGTTTGCAAATTTTTTATCATGACTATAAATCTTTTTTTATTGGCATAAATAATGAAATCGCATTGTTTTGTTTAAAAACGAATTTAAGAAACCTATCATAATCATCATCAATTATTTGGTTTGAAAAATGCGAATTTAAGGAACTCTCTCAAATTTTATTTCTAATAAAAAATGTCTTGTTTATCAAGGGTGTAAGCAAATGTTTGTACGTAGCAGGGTAGATAAGCTTTAAATAATCTCGAAACAATTCAAAAAATACGATTAAAAAAAATATGTTCATGTCAATAGTTGTAAGAATTTTTAACATCGGATCGAAACTATTTCCAAGAACTTTTTTATTTTATAGGCGATGTAAAGTCCGATTGGCTAATTTAAACACGTCTCTCTTGATAATTTTTTTGAATAGATAAAAATGTCATAGATGAATGAATATATTAATAAAATTGACAGGAACACGCACGGCGCCGAGTAATTTAGATTAATTCTAAATTTACAACGTTTTTTAATATCCACTCTTGATAAAATTTTCCTGGGTTCTCAACAGATTGAATTAACTTATACCAGACAAATTACCTAAATAAGTTAAAAAATCTTGTCATTTATTTATTTACTATATCATAAAATTAATTCAACGAGTGCATATTATTAATGTATTGTCTGTTAAAAAAAAATATATTAGACATTCTATTTGTATTCTACATATTTATTTTAATTCAATTCATATAAGCATTATAAGCATTATCTGTTGATATGAACGAAAAAAAAAAATGATTTTTAAATAATTCCCAAGATTTTAATCTAAGAATAAATAAATGCATGTTCCATTTGTTTAATCTGTCTCAGCTGTAAAAATTATATTATTGATGAAGCTACAAATAGAAAATATATAGTTAATTTATCTATCAATGTAAAATAATTGTGGAAAAATGGTAATGGAATTAGTTAACTGATTAAAACCCAAATATATTAATTTTGTATTTTTTGTATTTCCAATGTGACTAAAAAAAAAAAAATAATAATTTTTTTTGACAAATTATATAAATTATAAAAAAAGTAATTTTTAAAGATGGAGGATACTTTAAATGATGATGAATATTCTAATAAAAGAAATGAATATTATGGGGAGTGTCCAACCTGCAATAGATATAATACTAATGATGCATGGTGTCAATCATGTGATCCAAATCTATTAACTGAAGGATGGACTAGTGGCAATGAAACATTAGATGAGTTGATTAAAAGTACACAGCTTAAAGCAACATCATATGATAATGGTAAATATCTTCAATGGATTCCTTATGATGATTTAACCCAGATTGAAAATATAGGTGAAGGTGGTTTTGCAACTATATATAAAGCTACTTGGTTAAATGGTGAGAAACGTGTAAATTATAGGAAAGCAATTAGAACTAGTGAAGATAGGACTGTGGCATTGAAAAAATTACATAATTCACAGGATATTTCCGATGAATTCCTTAAAGAGGTAATTATTTTATTAACATCAAGTTTCAATTTTTTTGAAATATTATTGATTATAATTGTTACTTTAGTTTGAAAATTATATGAAGTTTAATGATAAAGCAGAAATAATTCATATTTATGGGTTAACACAAGATCCAATTTCAAAAGAATATATATTTGTAATGGAACATATAGAAGATGGAAGTCTTCAAAATTATTTAACAAATGATTTTAAAATTTTAAAATGGGAACATAAAATTAAAATTCTTTATTATATTATTAGAGGTTTAAGAGATATTCATAAAGAAGAAATTATTCATCGTGATCTTCATAGTGGAAATATTCTTCAAAGTACTATTTATTCATATATTACAGACTTGGGATTATCATGCCCATCTAGTCAAGCATCTGCATCAAACAAAAATGACATATTTGGGGTGCTACCATATGTTGCACCAGAAGTTTTAAGGGAGAATCCATACACAGCAGCATCAGATATATACAGCTTTGGAGTTCTGATGTCTGTAATGTCAACTGGTCAGCAACCTTTTAATAATTTGGCACATAATGCAGATCTTGCAATAAAAATATGTGAGGGTGTAAGACCAGGATTTTCAAGTAACACACCAAAATTGTATATTGAACTAGCATTCAGATGCATGGATGCTAATCCAGATAAACGTCCAACTGCTGAAGAAACTCGTATGATTATTAAAATTTGGAATGATTCACTTGATGATGATGTAATAAATAATTTTAAAAAATATGGATATTCAAGAAAACAGCTGGTTGAATTAAAATCAACTAGAAAAATGTTTTATGAAATGGACGAAATAAAATTTGATCCTTCATCAATCACTACAGCAATTCATCCAAATGCTGTTTATACTAGCAGGCTATTAAAATTTACAAGCCTTCCCCAACCTGTGAATTCCAATAAAGTGACAATTATTGGAAATAATAATGGTAATTATTAACATTTAATCATTGATTGTTTTCATTATTGATTTATTAATATCCACTTGTGTTAAATATTTTTTAGATTCTCAACAGATTGAATTAATTCGAATGAGTTAATCTTGTCATTTCATCATGTATTAAAATTATATTTTATCTTATTTATTATTTGACTACTATAATAAATATCTTGAGAAATGAAATTAATTATTTGTATTTAATAATAAATTATATAAAGGTAATGACTTCTCATAATTGCCATACCTTTGGATTTTTTTTTTTCATTTTGAAATTTGGATGTCAAATATAAAATTTGATATATAACCTTATTACAACAAAGTGTGGCTGGACATATTCAAAATTTGTTGAAACACGAATTTAATCATAATTCGTTGAAACAAGGCTTCACTGCATTCACCTTTTTAAATATGGAACATCATCTTTTGTATGATATGTAATAATGACTTTACCTAATCTGCCTGTCCTACCAGCTCTGCCAATTTGTGGACATGACTTTGAATTGATTGTGGAAAATCATAATTTATAATTAAACTTACTCCTACTATGCACTATTAATTCATTAGTTATCAAATCCCATGTTTTGCCTTTTCAAACAATTTAAAACAATCGAATCACTCTTTTTTTAAAAAAAAAACAAAAATAGAGATTTTAATAACTATTTGAATAAAAAATAACCATCAAGGACATGCATATAATACTTGAGCTTTTGTTCTTTCAGAATGTATAACATCATCATACATTAACTCACGAAATAGTTCTTTGGCACATTCAATGGATTGAACAAGCACTAATACATATGGTTTTAAACTTTCTTGTATCAACTTACAAACTGATACCAATTTCCCTTCTTCTTGTCCAACATAAACAAGTTTTGTTTATTAGTTTCTGTTGCTGAGTCCTTTGAAAATAAAAAAATAAAAAATTGTATAAGTTTAGCATTTTATTGTCAAGTAAAATCTTAATATAAATACTTGTCTAGGGCATACAAATTTTCAAGATGCAAAGATCCATCAAAAATATTGCTATAAATAGAAATACGAAACAAAAATTTTTTTTTGAAATAAAATTTATTTTGCAGGAATAAATAACTAAATAAATAAATGTATATATGGGATAATGACAACATTTAAAAGCAATTTGTGAAAATTTAGATGGAATTATATCAATATTTCTAAAGATTAAAAAGGTGGAGATATTAAATTAGTTGAAAATCAAAAAGAAAAAGGTTATTATTATAATTACTATATAATCTATTTATGTTGTAAATACAAAAAAAAAGCAATGATGAGAATGATTTTTAAAAAATGATATTCCAAAAGAATTAATGATTTAACATTAATTATTACCAATTGTTCCTTCTGAATTATCTTTTATAATTTTAATTAAAATATAAGTTTACAACTACTTGTTTGTCATTGAAATAATTTATATCTATTTATATACTGATTTGGTTATTAGGATCAAGTAATTTCAAAAAAAAAAAATATTGATTTTACCTGATGAATTAGATATTATCATATCATCCATCAAAGCATAAAATGCCTATTGGATCATTAATACAATCAGCAATTCTTGATGGTAATTATTATAATTTGTAGTTTTAAAAAAAAAACAAAAATTTTAATTGATATTTTCTACTTTTTGACCAGATATAGATTCAAATCTTGGAAGTTCTTGAAGATGATGAATTTTGTTTAAATGATGAAGAAAATTATTTAATATTTGACAATGATGATGGCAAGTATTATGATTTTAAAAGTGAAAACGAAAAAGAGGATTGAGAATTGGAATTTACATTTTTTTTAAAAAACCAAACAAAATAATGATTATAAGGATGATGATAAGAAATCAAGAAGAACAGGAAGATAATGGTTTATTATTTCTCATTGCTTTTCTTTTGAAACTGATATTTATTTCTCTTTTAGATATAATTCTTTAACTTCAATTGCAAGTGATAATAAGCTTTGGAACAATACATATTAAATTTTAAGAGAATTGCTATTTCTCACCAGTGGTGATTGTCACCACCTAAGGAATTAAATTTGCGTGAGGCGGAGTCGGGGTTGGGGTTAATCATAAATTGCATAATTCCTTAGGTGGTGATAATCACCACCGGTGAGAAATAGCAATTCCCAAATTTTAATAGTAAAAATAAATTATTGTTATTCAACAGATATATCAACAACATCATTCATCCAACCCTATGGTGCAGGTCATCTAAAGACATCAAAAAGATCATGCAACTTCAAACCTTTAGAACTTAAACAACAATGAAATAGAGAGTTTTTTTCAATTTTATTAATAAAAGAAAAGAAAAGGCCTTAGTGCTTTGAAGTTGCACGATTTTATTATATATCAAAGATGAGATTTGGCACGCAATGATTTTTCCTATTTTAGAAATGATCACCGCGACGTGACCAGAACAAATTTGGAAAAAACAACAATATCTGATTCTTTAATCATTAAAATAAAATAAAATTTTCGTCCAAACAAATATTAAAGTTTCAATTCATAATACAAATTCTTATTTGAATTGTTTGTATATTCGTTTTATTTATTTATTCAAATAAACTTTCAGTGTAATTCGAATATTCAAATTTATAATAGAAGAAACCCTAATACTAATAAATGATTGAGTCATATGATTCTATAATATAGTGACACCAAAGAATATCATTGTTATTTTTGGATTTGAAATTTGGCACTCTGTGCAGCATTTGATGTCTTTAGATGACAATTTAAAAAAATAATTAATAATTAATGCAATCATAAGATTTTCAATCTTAATTGTGATATTAATATGAAATTATTTTTAACAAATCATAATAAATTATCATAAGTTTATGGCAGGCCCCATAATATTATACAAAAATTATGAAATTATTACAACATTACATATTAAAACTTATGGATGTAATATTACAGTGGAAAAAATTTCCTGAAGCAAAGATGGATGATATTCTTGAATGTTATTTGGTGTTATAAGATTCAATCATAATTATCAATTAGGTAAGATTTTAGATACCTCTACATTGGGCATTGCTAATAAAGCAACTAAATTATTTTTATTATCTTCTCTTCGATTTCAACAACAACTATTGTGACAGAAACAATACTAGAAACAACCAGTATATAGTAGCAATGGTCAACTACAACAACAACATAATCAAGAATCATTGTTGGTTGAAATCTCCCCTATCACAATTCATGATCAAGCTTTAATAGCTTTTAAAAAAATGTATCAAGTTAGAGTTGAGGCAGTTGCAATTGTTAATGATGGTGGTAAGGTTGTGGGCGAAACTCCTCCAGAAATCAATTGACAGAGTTTTGACAGGTTACACATTAATTGTTTGTCAGAGTTTCAGCAGAATTTCGCATTTGGGGGTTTTGTCAATTGTCAGAATTTTGGCAAGGTATATGCTAATTGTTCATTAGAGTTTTGACAGAGTTTTGACAGTCACTAAGAGTTTTTGGAAAGCAACCTTAGATGGTGGTAGTTTGGTTAGAGAAATATCAGTAGCTGATTTATGTGGTTTAAATAGAGATCATTTGAATGGTTTAAAGAAACCTGTCATAATGTTCCTTAAATCAACCAAAGGTGCATTAATTAAACCATTAACTTGTCACCAGAAAATTACTTTGAGTCAGATATTATGCATAATAAGACTCATCAAGCTTGTGATGTAGATGGGAATTACTCTTAGTGATATCCTTGGCACATTTTTACCTGATGTATTTACTAATTATTTATGATTACTATTATATTATGCAATTACAATTTCCAATAATTTAATTAGATTATATTGTATTGTATATGAACAAGCAATTATCTATGTATTTGCACATTCATTTCATTCATCCATTTAGTAATCCTATCATAACTTCTTCAACATAAAGATCAACTTTTCTTTTCCAATTACCAATATTTTTGTCAACATCATCCTCATTTTCCAAAAGAAATAGTCTAATTCCTCTAACCTAAATGATCCTGGCACCATTAAAAGGTGGAAGGGAAGGCCTTCAAATTAGTGTTCCGAATGGGTTGGGTCAGGTCAGGTACCCAGGTCAGATATAAAAAATTTCTCAAGTATCAATTAATATATGTAATTTATTTTGCTCATTTGAATTTTAAAAAAAAATACAATGTGTAAAATAAGTGGATTTTTAAAAAAGAAAAAAAATTAAAAAATTGATTTACTTAGTAATATTATTATCTCTAATCCAATTTTTCGGGCACATGCATGCTTGAATTATTTCTTTCTCCAAACAACAACATTTTTTTGTGATTAGGTCACCACCACCTGAAAAGATTCTTTCAACAGATACACTTCTACCTTACATTAAATAATATACATATACTTATTTATTTTTACAAATTAAATAAAAGATATTAAAAAAAGATATCTTACCTGGAATTGCAAGATAGTCACGTGCCATCTTGGAAAGATTTGGAAAGGTGGCTTCATGAACCTATCATATTTAATGAAAATAATAATTAATGTTGAAAAATAAATATATCAGATATTAATTAATTTGTTACCTTCCACCATTGTAGTGGATCTGTTTGAGGATTTACTGGAGGTTTTCTAAGATACTCCTCTAATTCACCTTCTTTTTGATTATTATTATAATTGATACCAAGTGAAAATGTAAAAAAAATATTTTCATTATTATTTGTAGTGGCAGCAACATTAGTGGCAGTAGCAGTAGCAGCAGCAGCATTATAATAACATTCATTGTATTTATCAGCTAGTGTTTTTTGGCCATATCAATATTAATATTAATAAAATAATTAATAATAAGACAAGGATTACGTATTGCATATGGCACATGATATGGCATAAAACAGGGGTCATGTCATTCGGCATATTGGGCCCATGTCAACCCGTGTGACCCGTGTGACCCGTATGACCCGCGGGTCAAATCAAATTCATGACCCGACCCGAAATATGGTCAACCCGACCCGACCCGAACGGGTCATAACCCGCGGGTCACTCGGGTTGACCCGACCCGTTCGGAACTCTACTTCAAATATAAGAATATATTAGTTATGTGGGTTACATTAGACAAAGTGAATATTGGTATTACCAAAAATTTCAGAGATCAATATTGTTTAACATCACAATTATATCATATGTAATGTGGTCATTAAAATTGTAGATAAAAATAGTTATTACGAAACTCATTTACATCAGATGTACTATGGAATCAAAGAATTACAGCATTATTATGAAAAAGAACAAAGTGAAAAAATTGCTCCTTACATTTTCATCACTTGAATCAGGGTTTTTACAATTGCTCTGGTTTATTTTTTATTTTATTTTAATTTTTTTAATATTATGTTTTAATTAAATAATAAAGCAGCTATTGTAATCTAGATGAGAGGTTTAATAATATTTTGTTTTCAATTTTAATGATAATGATGACCAATCATTCTAATCATTAAAGATGGACCACTATTAGCCACAATTCAATTTTCGTATGTTGCAATCACAACTGCAATTAAATTTTTATATCTAAAAAAAAATGATCAGTGATCTTTTTTAAAAGATTTTGATATTTTTGGTGAATTTCTAGAATGTATAATTGCAAAGAATAAAGATCAGCTATTAACAGAAATAAATACTTATAAATAAATACTATATAATTACTTGTAAGACCCACCAACATTCTTGTAGCAGATTTTGTAATGATGCCACTTCTTCTGGAAAATCTAATTCAACGACTGAAAAAATATTGGGCTTAAATTAATTGGCCAATTTGCAACATACATATGTAAACTCAATAAGTCGGTCATGTGGGGGTGAGCTCATATGACCAACTTATTGAGTAAACTGACTTATCAAGTGACCGACTTATCAAGTTTACATATGTACACATCTGCAGTTGTTCTATAAAGTTTACTAAGAATCTTGCATCTGACTCAATTATTTATATGTTTTTCATATGACAATTAATTGTAACAAAAAGTCACCTGATTGAGTCAAATGATCAACCTACTTATACCACATGTATAATTGAGATATTTCCTCTGGTAACATTTCTACATAAGCTTAAACATAAGAACAACTTCCTCATATAACTTCGAAAGATCTTTGTTTTTCTTTCCCAAATGGATGCAGTTGCTGTTTCAATGTAGATAAATTCAATTTTACAATTAAATGAAAACACCATCATATTTTGACTTTTTCTTTGACTTATTCCAAACATTTTTTGTGCTTTGCTGGATACTTCACTGCTATTATGTGAAAATAGTCAACAAAAAAAATTTTTTTTCAACTAAAGGATAATTAAAAAAAAATAGCATATCATTGGCATTATTAAAATATACCATCTTAAAGCACAATCTCTTAATGATGAAAATGCAGTCATCAAAAAATGGTTGATTTCAGCAAGAGTTTTAATAAATGTTTTATTTATTAATGGTCAGGTTATTTAATGTGAAAGTGTTTGTTTATTATTAGTGACAATATTTTGGTATAAGGCTATTATTATGTTATTATTATTATATCATGAACATGATGATTTTAACTTGGCCTAAAACCAAGCATATTTATACCTCTTAGGGTATTATTATTGTTATTTATGATGATCGACATTAAAAAATTTTTTGAGCCATTAATTTACCACTTGATTACTATTTCAGTAATATATGATTTAATAATTTTTTATTCATAATATTTCATCAGCAAATGATTATTTGTAATAAAAGATCTGCAGTTATAACATTTAGAGAACATTATTGTCTAATTGCAAACAATACATCTATATTTTTATCTCATTTTTAAATCATCACTTATTGGGGTGACTTACATTATATGATTTTACAAACATAGTCAATCACATATATAATTTTTCATATATGACAATTTTATGCCGATCTTTTTTTCAATAGTAAACTTTGAATGATTATAACTCTTTAAAGAATAGAGATACTGGCTCCAAGTTAAGTTTAAACCATACTAGAGAAATAGGACAATAAAGTAATAGAGCCCTTTTTTTTATTTTAATATAAACAATGACATTTATTTTAAGCTAGAAAATCAAAGTAAAAGTTGAGAATATATGTTACAAAATTTTATGCAAGTAAAATTGTAAAAAGCTCTCTATTAGTTTAAAGAGCATCAAAAAGTGAATCTAAAACATAAATTTTTATTTGAATATAACATATAGTTTAAGAGTTATTTTGAGTTTTGTAATTTTGCAAAGTTTGCCAATTTGTATAATAAATTTAAAAATTTTTTTTGTGGCACCAAAAAAATAATAATAAATCCGCAAAACCCCTAAAAAATCCTTATTAATGAAAATTTATATATGTGATCAACTATGTTTGTAAATCATATGATGTGAGACACCCCAATAAATCACCATCATATAATTATGCTTGATTTTGTACTATAATTTATTTTTCCAATGATAGTTATTTTAATATGTTGACAACTTTCAGATTAAATGTTTTAAAAAATAGAATAATATATTTTATCTTAGATAATTCAGCAATTATTAAAGAATTTTATACCTATGACATGGAATGGGATTGGGTTGATAATTATGATAAATTTGATAATTGCTTTCAGAATCTCTCCAAATTAGATTATGTATTCACTTCTCATAGTATTGAATTCATTGATAAATTAGCAAATATTTGCAAATCTATACAATCATTAAGAATATATTATAATCAATACAACAATAAATTTCAAAATAGTCTGACTAAATTAATTAAAGCACAAAATCAAATAAAGCAATTAACCATTGATTCAAACACTGATCAAGTTTTATCAGATAATTTCAAAAAAGCAATACTCTCACACACACATTCAATAATTTATTTATTCTAGCAGTGGAGTATATGATATAAATAATATATTATTACCAACTCTATATAATTTAAAAACTTTATCATTAAAAGCACTTGGTACTGGTATCAATGTAAAATATTTGAAAAATAATTCACTGCCACATACTGAATCTATGAAGTTATATTATCTTAATCAATCATTTCTATCAGAATTATCTAATTTTATTGACATCAATAAAAATCTGGATTTTTGTGTTACTATATACAATAATGAACTTTTGGGAAAGTTATTTCAATCAATTGCACAACATTGTAAAAATCTAGTAGACTTATCAATAGTTTATAAGGATGAAATAGATCAGGAATTAATGGAGATATTCAACAATTGTACTATTGAATTTAAACTAGTTTTTGTGGGTTTTTTCGAGATTTCATCTCTCTATACCCCCAGCATACATAGATGGTGATAGAATTTTAGCAGTTTTGGGTCAATTACCAAAAAAATTAAAATCAATAATTTTTAATATTGCTGTTTTTAATATTAGTGACAATTCTTTTGATAATCTAATGAAGAACAGGAAAGGACCCAAACCTTTTACAATAAAATTTGAAGGATTATTAGAAGAATATAGTGATCTTGACAAATTGATAAGAAAATATCAAGATTTAGGATTTTTAAACTAGATTACATTTATTTTATGCTAATCATTAATAATATTATTATTTGATTTTAATTGGAAAATAAATAAATAATTTTTCACTTAATGATAACTTTATGGGTGTGGCATTCCAAAAATGTGTTTTATGTGGATCTCTGCATCGGTCATGTTTACTTCTTCAACAATCATTTTGTTGACACCCGAAAGTTTGTTTCATCGAATGTTCATTTTGTTGAATGTTCATTTCATCAAAAATTATTTCATCCTCAAGTCAGAGACTGAACGAGTTAGATGTGAGGAGTGTGGGAAGTTAGTTAAGAAATTAGGTGAGGAAAGCAGAGTGTGTGGGAAGTGTGAGGAGAAATTTGTTTAATGAAGTTTTTTTTTTTTTGTGACGAAATAATTTTCGATGAAATGAACATTTGACGAAATGAACTTTTGATGAAACAAACTTTTGATGAATAGGTGTTGACGAAATGAATCAGACCCGTTATGTTATAAATTAATCATTCCCATAAATTTCTGTCTCTTTAATCTTATTTAATCAACTTAATTTGTTATTTTTCTAAATGGGGCTTTTGCCCATATAACCTCCTACCCTAGGTTAAAGGAGTGTAGCTCAATGAGAGCATGTAACTCACAAGTATAAAGATGGCAGTTTGATTCTGCCCACTCCTATTGTGATCACTGGCATCAAGGAGAAAGCTGTAAAATAAAATGGTTCAGAATTAATTATATAATAAAAAAAAAATTGCATGGAAACCAAGGCTACACCACTATGCCAATCAAACCACCAGGCTGTTATGTTTGTCCTAAGGATATAAATATATTAAAAGAATAAATAAAAAAGGAACCATCAAAAAAACCATGTTAAACATCTTAAAAGAACAACAACAAGCAAATCAAGAACTAATCAACGAAATTAAACATTGAAAAAGCAATTATCCAATAAAGAACAAGAAATTACTGAATTAAAAATCTAGGAGAAGTAAGTGAAGAAGAGGAAGTTGAATTTAAGCAAGAAGCAACAGAAAGAATTCACCAAATAGTGGTAGGTATTAAAACTTGTTTAATTTATAAAGGTGAGATATACAGAAATTTCCTTTTTGGATTTGTGTTCCACAAATGAATCAAATAAAAAACGATAAATATCTATAACTTCGATATACCGTCCTTTTTAAAAGTTTTCCTACCAAGTCAGATAACGCAAAGCTATTTACGTCAAGAGTTTATCTCACAAAGGAAAATAAATGTATGTACCATGAAGTAAATATTCGAATTTGGCTTGTCGCAACGATCAAATTTCTGTTCTTAAAAGAAAAAAATTCGAGTTGCATTAGGCCTTGGTAGAACCGAGCGAGTAATTCTCACCAATAGGTAGTTGTTTGGTTGTCGTATATCTGAAGTTACGCTGTCACTAGGATTTAAATTGAAAGCATATCGTGGCCGTAGCTTGTGAAAGTTGTCAGTCAGGTAAATATGGTGAACGGTTTGCCATGAACGTTCATTTTGCTTCTTGACGATGATGACACAAATACTTATTTTTTTTTTATTTTTTTTTTAATTTATAGGCATTCCGGAGACGGTGGTATTGATCTAACTGAGCGGGGCGTTTGGTCGCAAAGTAAATATATTATTATAATTCATTAAATAAATAAAAATTTTTATTAATTTTTTTA